CTAAATAAGGACACCCTTAGGGGCTCTGGGAAGTGCGAGCCCGGCAAGGTACCCGCCACATACTCAGGAAGCTCAAGCTGGGAAAGGCTTGGTGATTGCATCTCCACCCTCGTGGCGAAAGATGCACCTTCGCAGCCCTCTGGAAAGACAGCTGCTGCCTGGAGTCGGGCACCGGGATTAGAGCAGCTGCCAGAAGCAGTCCTGTGCCTGTTCGTAATGCGCCGGGAGAAGCTTCAGCTAAGAGCAAGGCGGCTTTGGACGCTGGGAATTGGTACTGTTATAAGGGACGCAGTACTAACGACCCAGCTTTAGAATGTGGCTATAAAATGAGGCGGCTAGACAGGTCTAAGGGAAAAGTACCGCTCAACTCTGGTGGGGAACTCTAGGAGCGCCGGTCACTTAGATTACTCCCAGACATTTTAAAGAGCTACTGTGCTCACTGGTTCACTGAACATTGACAAGCAGCCTTAGAGCCTCTAGTCCATTGTGTAACCTTATTTGTATACTGCTGCAGTGCCCAGCAGCCCGAAGAGGCCCAGGAAACTGGTGACTGTGGTCTGTTTACTTTTTCTCCGAATATGCCTAAACCCCTTTCTCCTTTTTTCACACTGAGAAAACGGGATTCCGGGTAGGGAGCCAGTGAGCAGGGGATGTGGCTCCCAGTTGTAGCTAATACATTTAAAGTTGTTTGTTGATGCCTGTTAGTGCCTGGGCTCTTGGCATTTCTGAGGTGAGCTTTAGATCTCTTTAGATTTGGAACTGAGTTGGGAAAACTGAGCCACAAGAGTGGGAATAGAAAGGGAAGAACTCACTGAACTCCCACTGTATGTACATACTTTAATCCTCACTGTCCAGAGGACAGGTGCTGTCGCCTGCCTCCTGTAGGTGAGGGGTGGTGGCCCAGGGAGATGAGGGTCTGGTTCAGGATACTGTCAGTGGGATTAGTGGCAGAACCATGACTCAGAGCAGGCACTGTGCATTGGCCATGCCGTCCACCTGTCTCACAGGGCTGTGTGTGGTACCAGTCTTTGAGAGATGTGGAGAAAACCCTCTTACTATTTCTAGAGGAGGGTCCTGTCCACAGTAACCCAGTGTTTGTAAGAAAAATGTGTTTGGGAATTGATCAGCAGGCTCCCACAATCCCTTGTAATAGGCAGATGTGATGAGCCTGGTCCCTGTGGGTAGTGTCTTGGGTTCCAGATGGAATAAGAAACGGTGCTCACGCGCGCGAGAGTGTGTGTGTGTGTGTGTGTGTGTGCGTGCGTGCGTGCGTGCGTGTGTGTGTGTGTGTGTGTGTGTGTGTGTGTTTCTACATCCACTGCACTTGGCACCTGACTGGGAGGCTTCATACATCCCATCGGTGAACTGCAACCCAAAGATCTCTGAGCCTTGGAACCACACAGCATTCTCCTTCTCTCTTCTTGTGGGTCTATTCTTGTCTCTTGCCTCCCATAGTGAGTACTTGATGACCTTTTGAACCGCCCCTCCCCATAGAGCAGAGCAGTCACATGTCCCCGTCTTGAGTTTCTTATCCAGGGGAAACCCTTTGGGCTTGCCCCTGCTGGAGCCCCAAATACATGGCAGCTCACCCAGGACCCACTCCAAGTATCTCTGTGTCACATGACCGGAGCAGGAAGTTCCATAAATGTTTAAATCTGTTAGTTCTTGTCCTGGGTTGTGATGGGCGGGTCTTGAAGAAAATGGGTGTGGGTGTCTTAAGGGGAAACAAATGTGAATCACCGGCCCTTTACTTCTCCTTTGCGTTTGCTAAGGGTGAGGGGCCAGTTGAAGTGAGGGAGAACGGTGAACGTGGGGCTGCCCACAGCCTGTCCTCAGGGGCCTGGAAGTGTGCTCAGCGGTATCCCACCCCACGCCCAGGCAGGTGTGGGTGTCTAACCTGCCAGGACGCCAGCTTGCACTTTGGTAGGGTGAGACTATCGGGGTCCTCACCCTTCCTTGAGCCCTGCTGAGAGGTGGTGTGTGAGGTATGGACCTCCTGTCCGCAGGGGTTCACAGCACAGCCCTATGGGAACAGGGTAAAATGTAGATTCCTTTGAGCTGAACTCTGTGGCAACATGACTGTAGTTCCAGCTACTCAGGAAGGCTGAGGCAGGGGGATTGCTGGAACCCATGAGTTCAAAGTTAATTTGAGCACCAGCAAGACCCTTGTCCAAAAAGAAATGCAGATTATTGGACCCTCTTGGGTTAGTCTTCAACATTAACAGCAAATATCAGACAGGCTTTGAAACTTGTTTGACATGGGTTGGGTCTGAGGGCCCCCAAACACTACATTGGTTCTGAGACCCTCCTTGGAGCCATGGAGCTACAGATGGCCATCAAGACAGAAGTGCCCTGCTAAGGAGCCAGGTGTGGTCCAGGCATGCAGCCTCAGCATTCAGGAGCCCAAGACAGGAAGGTAATCACCAATCTGAGACTAGCTTGGAGCTACATAGTGAGTCCCAGTTCCAAGCCAGCCTGAGCTATAGTGGGAGACCCTGTCTCAAAAAAAAAAAAAAAAAAAAAAAAAGAGGTGGTAAGGGATTAAGATCACATAGTGCCCTTCTAGAGGACCTGTTCAGTTCTCATTAACCAACATCGGGTTGGCTTACACATACTTGTAGCTCCAGGGGATTCAACACCCTCTTCTGGCCTCCTTAGGTACCTACAGTTGAGCACACAAACACTTAGAAATGTGAAATAAAGTAAACCAAATCTCTCTGTGTCTGTCTGTCTGTCTGTCTGTCTGTCTGTCTGTCTGTCTCTCTCTCTCTCTCTCTCTCTCTCTCTCTCTCTCTCTCTCTCTCTCTCTCTCTCTCTCCCCCTCTCAGGAAGCCCAGGGAGTGAGTGCGGTGCTTAGATAAGCACATCTCTTACCTGGGCAAAGCAGACTTAGAGTTGATTGACTCCGTGGCTCTGATGGTATGTTCTAGAAGCCCCTGACTCCAGGACTAGCCTTGATTTTTCACTAACACAAAGGTGATGCAGCATGAAAAAGGACGCCTAGAGGAGAGGCTAGGCATAAAAAAAATGATCCTTTTGTGCTCATTTCAAAAAAGAGCAGAATGCTTACATTAGGCTGTGCCCTTAGTCCTTCGAGCGAGGGTATCCACAGACAGATGGGTCCTGCCTTCTGCCCTGGTGGGAACTCCCATGCAGGGAACCTTTTGAAGTGAGCTGTGGTGGGAATGTACACTGCAGAGCTGGGTGGCAGCTGGTGGCTGTGGGAGGGGAGCCGTGTCTCTGCCCACGGCCTCTGGCTCTCTCACTTCATCCTTTGGCTGGTTCTGACTGGTGCCCACAGGAGTACTTCCTCCAGGCCTAGCCTAGTCCTGTTCCATTTCATGACACTCTGGGGGCCTTCCGTCCTTAGCTCATATGAGCTGATATGATCGCTTTAGAAAGAGATGTATCTACTGGATAATCAGAGTGGAAGGGCCATGTTCATCTTTCCTTCTGTTTTCTACCGTGTGTGTGTGTGTGTGTGTGTTACTATGTTCTGTGTGTGTGTGTGTTACTATGTTCTGTCTGGGAGGTAGGACTGTAAGTTCTAAGAACAGTGCAAAAGGGGGTGGGGGAAGGAAGGAGGACCCGAGATAGCAGATCTATAGTAAGGGCCAGAGCTCTCTGGTAAGATGTTAGAAAAGCTAGCCCATTTCTTTCTAGAAACAAAAGCTAATGTGTTGGTGTTCTCTGAAGCCTGGGCTCAAGCCTGGAGAACAGGCACTACAGGAATGTACTGCCAATACTTGACTGTTTTAATACGGTTTAATGAAGGAACCGGTGTTGTCAGAAGATCCCTCACAGGCCTGGAAGAAGATAGGGTGATACAGGGCTTGGAGATGATGGGAAAGCTAGGCAGCAGCAGGTGCCATGGGCTGAGGGCAGGTAGCTACAGATTCTGGGGTGTGGCCTACAGGTTCTGGCTCTGTTTTAAGTGCCAGCCCAGAATTACCCAGAACTGGGTGTTGTTTGCTGTTGCTTATTCTCCGTTGTTAGCACACGGGGGCTGGCTTCATTTCCAGGCTTGGAGCACCGACCTTAAAGCCAATAGCAAGGACCATCGTTCTCTTGTCTGATCTCAATGTTTTCAGCACTGACAGGATCTCCAGCTTGGCCAGTATGGCAGCAGGTGGCTTTTGCCTGGGTGGGGGGATTGGGTAGGAGAGGCTCTCGAGTCTATCTTTAAAACCAGGCTGGTACTGAAGTCACACACTTAGGAGGGCAGAAGTTGTGATGGCTGTTCTTGGTTGTCAACTTTACTACGTCAGGAATGAATTGAAATTCTGACAGCTGGGGTACACCTGTAAGGCACTTGTTCCTTCCCTTCCTTCCTTCCTTCCTTCTTTCTTCCTTCCTTCCTTCCTTCCCTCCCCCCTTTTTCTTTCCTTTGTTTTTGTTTTTTAGAGATGAGGTCTCTCTGTGCAGCACTGGATGTTCTGAAACTCACTCTGTAGATCAGGCTAGCCTGGAACTCACAAAGATCCCCCTGCCTCTGCCTCCCAAAGGTGTGTGCCATCACCACCTGGTAAGGCACTTTTTTCTTCCTTCTTCCTTCCTTTTTTTTTTTAAATACAGATCTTGCCTCCGGTTTATTTGTAAAAACACATAGGCCACTGTGGAAGTGTCTCACCCCAGTCCATATGTCTTCGCACTAGCAGATAGAAACCTTTGCTTTGGGGCTTTCTCAAGGGCCTTGGACATCTTTGGGAGCCTGAGCTGGAGCTGAGGCCTGAGCCTCATTTAGAATGGAGACCTCTGCCTTGATTTGAACTTTGGACCTCAGTTGGCAGAGCCTGCGACCCTTGGCCATGTAGCTTCTAATCCGCTTCCCAAGCTTGGGGTAAGCGAAGAAAGAAGATGGCCGAATTTGCAGCTGGGGCCCTTTGGCATCTTGGGCTTCACAGGACCTTGAAGCTCTGCATGAGAACTCATTGCCTGTATCTTCTTCAGGCCTTTCTTGTTACACTTCTTGGCAAAGTGCACATTCCTCAGGAACTCACCTTAAGAGATTTGTATCTTGGGGTTTCTTGACGCCATTTCTGTGCCATTTTGGTTGTGTGTGGTGTGGTTTTTGAACTTGACCATGTCTGAACTGTAACCCATGTCTCCCGAAATGCCTGGGACCAAAAGAGAAAGAATGAGGGAATTTTTCCTAATTAAATCATTTGAGGTGGGAGGATCCACCTTTGGTCTGGGCCACTCCTTCTGCTGGAAGCCTAAATAAAGGACATGGGAGAAGGAATCTCTCTCTCCTCTCTCCTCTCTCCTCTCTCCTCCTCTCTCCTCTCTCCCTCTCTCCCTCTCTCCCTCTCTCCCTCTCTCCCTCTCCCTCTCCCTCTCCCTCTCCCTCTCCCTCTCCCTCTCCCTCTCCCTCTCCCTCTCCCTCTCCCTCTCCCTCTCCCTCTCCCTCTCCCTCTCCCTCTCCCTCTCCCTCTCCCTCTCCCTCTCTCTCTCTCTCTCTCTCTCTCTCTCAAGTCCATTCCTTCCCTGGCAATAGAGCCTACTTCTTCAGGATCCCAACAAATACTGAAGGCAGCTGAGACATCCAGCCTGGTGTACTGAATGATTACTGGATTCTTGGACTCACCTTTCACTTCTTTCTGCTCCTGAGTGCTGGGATTACAGGTGTGTGACACCACACCTGGTTTATGAGATACCGGGCTTCATGATGATGGCTAAGCACTCTCCCAATGAAGCTACATTCCAGCCCAGAATTTCTGTTTCTTTTACTCTTCTACATATGTGTGTGGGAGAGACAGGGAGAGACAGGGTCTCGTTGTATAGTTCAGGCTGTACTTGAACTCAGAATCCTCCCAAGTGCTGGGATTACAGATGTGTACTACCGCAGCTGGTTCAAATGTAGATGTCTTTTAAATCTTTAAAAATCTTTTATGTGTGTGTGTTACCTACATGCATATTTCTGTGTACCACACCACATGCATGCCTGATGCCTGCAGAGTCTTGAAGAAGTGGTTGGATCCCCTGGACCTGAGGTTCATATGGTTGTGAGCTTCCATGTGGGTGCTGGGAATCAAACGTGGTCCTCTGGAGAAGCAGTCAGTGCTCTCATCACTCCACACCCTCATGTGTAGAAATCAAATTAGGAATTTCATTACGATAGATCTTCATTTTAAAACCACTCTGGTGGACAGCTGGATGGACTGGAAGGGACAAGATTATGTAGGAAAGCCAGGTGTCATCCAGGCAAGGAAGAAAGGAAGTGTGATTATGGCAGAGGCCATGGAGATGGCACGTTTGAGATAAGTAACATCTGAACATTTATACCTGGAGGGAAGGCTGATGTCTGCCTGACAACACCCAGGAGCCTGAGAGTTTGAAAAGAGAGGTCCCAAGTAAAGTCACACAGCTAACCAAGAGACCCGGACAGTACAGAGCCTGAAGCCAGGTGGACCCAGATCCAGCTAGTGAGCCAGACTATATTGCTAATGACTTCTGGAAATGCCAACAAGAGGAGAGACTTGGTCTTCTGGAACAGGGCCCATCAGTCCCCATCACTCAGTTCCTCAGCTTCTCCCATAAACCTCTAGGATGTTCCACATAGAATTCACACCTATTGGCAACAAGCTGATCCATCACAGGATAGCTTTAACAAGCTACAAATAGTGAAGAAAATGGCTGCGAAGTTGCAGAGAGCGGCCAAGGAACCCTGAGGACTTACAAGGAGACAGTCACTTTGAGACACAGTGAGCATAAGGAAGGATCAGCAGGAAAATGGAGTAACATTCCAGGCCGGGAACACACATGCAGAGGCCTCCACACATTAAGTTCCAAGAGGTGAGGGGTCCCGGAAGCCAGGGCAGACACACAGGAGGGGGCGTGGGAGAGGAGTACTGGGCGCAGACAGGCTCCAGGACAGAGCCAATGGGGCCAGATTCAGTTACAGTGTTGAAAACAACAGTGGAAACAGATGTCATACAGAAAGTCACTTTGGGAAGTTTGTGGCTGATGGGCCTGAAGCTACAGGCAGTAAACCAAAGAAGGGCGGGGCACTGGGAGGTAGAAGGGAGGGGCATTGAGCAAGAACCTCCTCCATGTGGTAGGAGAGGGGGTAGTGCTGTGCTCCAACAAAGCAGGAGGGGCTGAACTCAGTGAAGGACTGGTGAGCCCCAGGTGTCCACAGTTCACATCCAACTACATTTCCTAGCCTGCAGGTCCAACCTAGGCCCGGAACATACAACAAGCTCCCCAACATTTCTCCCTACCCCCTAATTTTCAGAGCAGCACCACACTGATGCCCAGAAACCAAGGAGTTGGCCCGGGCTTACTCTTCTACAAGCAACATCTACCCATGTCACCATGCCCCTTTGAGCCTGTCTCCTGAATTCCCATCTTCAGCTACAAGCACACCACTTAACATTGCCTATTAGGTCTACCAGTCCTTCTAGATGACTCACCAATTTACAGTGACAGTGCCCACATTCCCATTTGGCCTACTGCCAACAGCCACCTTGATAGGCCTGGCTCACTAACTGGATCTGGGTCCATCTCTGGCTTCAGGCTCTGTACTGTCTGGGTCTCTTGGTTGACTGTGTGACTTTATTTGGGACCTCTTTTTTCAAACTCTCTGGCTTCTGGATGATGTCAGGTAGACATCAGCCTTCCCTCTAGGTACAAGTGTCCAGATGTTACTCATCTGAAATATGCCAATTGTCTTAGTTTGCTTTCTATTGCTGTAATAAGAACTGTGACTCTGCTGGGCGGTGGTGCCTCCCAGCACTTGGGAGACAGAGGCAGGCAGATCTCTGTGAGTTCAAGGCCAGCCTGGTCTACAAAACAAGTTCCAGGACAGTCAGGACTGTTACACAGAGAAACCCTGTCTAAAAAAACAACAACAAACAAACAACAACAACAAAAAAACCTGTGACCCAAACCAATTTAGGGAGGAAAGGCCTGTCCTCTTCCTCCCTTCCTCCCTTCCTCCCTTCCTCCCTTCCTCCCTCCCTGTTATTGCTGTTTTGTTTTGTTTTCAGACAGGTTTAATCTCTAGCCAGAAAAGGGTTTAGTCATCTTCCAGCTTACATACAGTCCATCACTGAGGGATGTCAGGATAGGAGCTGGAGGCAGGAGCTGAAGCAGAGGCCATGGAGGAACACTACTTACTGGCTTGCTCAGCCTGCTTTCTTACACACCCAGGACCACCTGCCCAGGGATGGCATCACCCACACTGGTCTGACCCTCTCACATCAATCGCTGATCAAGAAAATGCCACACAGACTTGCCCACAGGCCAATATGTTGGAGGCATTTTCTCAGTTGAGGTTCTCTCTTTTCATATGACTCTAACTTGTATCAAGTTGACAAATAAACAACAAAAAACAATAAACAGCACAAATATGTATGTCCTGTGTATGTGTATCACACACACACTAGCAGTCTGTGGTTTCAGAAATAATGAGTTGTTTTTAGGCAACATAGTAAGTTAATCTTTACCTCCTTGTCACAGACCCACATGTAGCTGTAAGTGGATGTTAGATGATCAACATGGTGGCGTTCTGGTCTCTTTTTATAAACCAGGTTCTTTGGCGTTTGTTTCTGGGACAGTGTTAGCCATGGATGGAACTGGGAACAGGCTCATCTCTACTGCTGAGGAGCCTGATAAGTTGGGAGGGACAAAGAATATCCAGTTACATGTGGACACCTAGGTGGGATGATCTGGACAATAATGGGGTGCCAAGGAACACAGTGGCATACTTCAGTGTGACTTTCTCTGCTTCCATGTAAATTTCTGTCCTGTGAACTAATTCATATGTGACAAGAGAGTGGGAACAGATGTTTGCTTTGCTCCACGTATGATTTTCCCCTGGCAGAGCAGGGAGACAGGGGTGGGGAGCTGGGGTTGGTACAATCTTTCGCAGGAAGGGAATAGACCCCACTTGACTGTTGTGCAGCAGGGGCCCAGTGGGCTTCCAGGAATGAAGGGGATAGAAACTGCTGCACCCCAACTTGTACACCCCACCCTGCTTCCATACCCAGCACAGTTACAGTGTCCTGGTTCGGCGCTCCTCTTCCATCTTGGTCTCTCTAATAAAGGTTTGGCCGGAATCCCCATTCAGCCTTTTTGGTATTTTTAAAATATGGATTCTGGCAGCCACCAGCCCCCGCTGGACTGCCTGCCCAGTTGACCCTAATCATTTTAAGAGTACTGTAGCTACAAAACTGTGGTATGAGTGGAATGCCCTAACTCATTTTTTACTTATGTCCTGTTTTTGTGTTTGTGTAGATATAGAGAACATGAAGTTTTCTATGTATGTATGTACTTAGCAGCAAGCTTGGTGGTTCACATCTCATTTCCAGCATCCAGGAGGTTGAAGAAAAAAAAAAGTCACCCTAGGTTTGAGGCTGACCTGGGCTACATATTGAGTCCCAGGATAGCCTGGACAGATTGAGATTCTGTCTCAGAAAACAAAATGGTATATACAGCAGAAATGTCTGTATTTACTGAGGAGTGGAACTTGTGTACAAGACTAACTGTGAAGAAAGATAGCCCGCAAGGCTTGGAAGTAGTGATAGGTCTCATGTATTTGCTTAGTGGTGTGCATTTTGGAAGGGCTCTGTTGCAGGGCTCAGGATGGAACATGGGGCCTCATTTGTGGCAGGTGCCTGCTGAGTCCCAGTCCTAGCTCCCCAGACATGTAAAGTGCTATGTAAATCTGTGTTGTAAGTCACAGCTGTGACTGGGAGGCCGGCTCCAGAGTCACTGTTTATGAGAAGACTCAGGCTGCACTGGCTGGGCTGTCACTGCCCAGGGCTCAGAACTGGAACCATCCTCCGAGCTGGGACGGTGACCTAGTTTGAGCAGCGGAACCCTGTCCCAGTAGGCCACCATTTGTTCTGCAGCCCTTGGCTAGTCCCCCCAGCCCCTTCATTATATAATCAGCACTCACATTGCTCTATTGTTGATTCCTCTGTGTGACTGTTTCTACCAATCCCCTTAGCTAATGAGCTTTATAAGAAGGATCTGGATACAGCTCTGCACACTGCAGAGAGCTACAACCATTTACCAGCATCTGTGCTTTCCCAGGGCAATCCTGTACTGTGGACTACACAGGTTGGACTTGTTCCTGCCTTGATTGGAATGAAGCTGCTTGTTTTATTCC